TGGAAAAACCGAATGAAGAAAGAATGAGGAATCAGAATCAACGTTGAGTTTAAGCAAGCGAATGAGCCAAGTGGCGTAAAGTGCAATGCAGATTTAAATTTTTCCCACTTGTGACGAATGCAGCTATCGATTTTTTTTGCATGCAAGCATGCTAGCTAACATTCGTGTCAGTCAATTGTTGGCTCTTACGCTGGCCAGTAGAATCTTCCTGTCTATTCGTGGCAGCCAGCTACGGGCTCTGATTCTGGCCAGTAGAAAATGGCCGCAAACTACATGAAAACTGCCGTAGAAGCATGGGAGTTGGGAAATGCAAAGTCAGTCTTGGCATTCCCGCTAACTTGGAGCATGTGCATGTAAATTTTGGTGCAAATCCGTCGAAAATTGCGGCCGTACATTCGTTACACACACGCATACACACACACACACACACACACACACACACACACACACACACACACACACACACACACACACATCCTGCCGTTTATAGATAGAGATATAAGATGTTTTCTATATTTACTTATGTATATTCCATATTCCAATTCATTTCATACCTATAAATGTACCATTCGTCTATGTTGAGAATATTGCCGCCACATATGGTCCGGTGTCCCCTGCTGTTTACTTAAAGCTTCTTGATAAGATCCAAAGAAGAATCAGCAATATTATTAGTCCTGATCTGGCGGCTCGGCTTTACTTACTTTCGCACCGCCATATGGTTGCCTCTCTGTGCCTTTTCTATAAATACTTTCATGGTAATTTTTCGAATGAGTTCTATGCTATGGCACTTAAACTTTATGAATGTAAGCGCAGTACTAGTCTGGCGTCGAGATCTCAACAATTTACAGTTGAGCTGGCTAGATATAGCCGTAAATTTTATGCTAACAGTTTCTTTTCTCGCACTTCTCGCTTGTGGAACTCCATTCTGCTACACCAATCTCTATCTACTGTTCTCCTGATTACTCTTTTCTCTTCCCGCTCATTATTAAGGTTTCTGTACCTAACTCCTCCGCACCCTGTAACCCCTTGTGTTTTAGTAGGTTTTCTGCCTTGAATAGTATGACACCGATTAAAAAAGTTAACTAGAATACTTTCTTTTGTAAGAATGTGTATTTAAAAGAATTTCTCAAGGCATAGATGCCCGTTCATGGGGTTAAACTGAACTAAGCCATAACTAATTAGAGAAATAGTGTTATCAAACAGGTCACAGCATTCAGTTTTGATTTCCTTAATATATTTACACTGGAGATTTTACAAGTATAAAAGTTTGGGCCTTGTTTAAAGGCAAATGGCATCCTGGGTATGACAATAAAGTACATCCGACAGCAAGGGCTCTGTTCAGGAGGGTTTTGAGGAGCGTGGAACCACCTGTTAATCGCTGGTGTTCCCAGGTCCACTCTGATTCTCAGAGGTAGCACCTGTTAGGGTCCCAGCTATGGGTAAATAACCCCCAAACTGGGGTCAAAATACTATGAAAGTGTAAAAATAGATTTTAATACCATAAATAATTTAAAAAATTATTACCAGCAATTAATTTTTGAAGGAAAAAATTATTACCAGCAATAGTTTTTTTTTCCAAAAAAGAAAAAAAAAATTACCAGCTATATAGTTTTGGGAAAAAATATTACCAGCAACACTTTTTGAGAAAAAAAATATAATCAACAATAAAATATTTGTTGGTATTAAATAACCCACTGACAAACCAAACCAAACCAAAGGCAAATGACCTCGGTCGAATTAACTTGAATTTCGGGGGATTTTACAAGAAAGCAAAAAATGAATTACTTCAGTTCAGCATTGAAAATATACAGTGTATCACAAAAGTGAGTATACCCCTCACATTCCTTCAAATATTTAAGTATATCTCTTCATGGGACAACACTGACAAAATGACACTTTGACACAATGAAAAGTAGTCTGTCTGCAGCATATATAACAGAGTTAATTTATTTTTCCCTCAAAATAACTCAAAATATAGCCATTAAAAGCTAAATCCCTGGCAACAAAAGTGAGTACACCCCTTAGGAATAGTTGTCAATATTAACATACAACATGTCAATATTTTGTGTGGCCACCATCATTATCCAAAACTGCCTTTACTCTCCTGGGCATGGAGTTTACCAGAGCTTCACAGGTAGTCACTGGAATGCTCTTCCACTCCTCAATGACGACGTCGCGGAGCTGGCGGATATTTGAGACTCTGCGCACCTCCACTTTCTGCTTGAGGATGGCCCAAAGATGTTCTATTGGGTTCAAGTCTGGAGACATGCTTGGCCAGTCCATCACCTTTACCCTCAGCCTCTTCATTAAAGCAGTGGTTGTCTTGGATGTGTGTTTGGGGTCATTGTCATGCTGGAATACTCCTCTGCGACCCAGTTTCTGGAGGGAGAGGATCATGCTCTGCTGCAGTATTTCACAGTACATGTTGGAGTTCATGTTTCCCTCAATGAAATGTAACTCTCCAATACCTGCAGCACTCATGCAGCCCCAGACCATGACA